CAGTAGAGGGGGTAGAGAGAGAAGAGGGGAGGGGAGGGGAGGGGAGGGGGGATAGTAGAGGATAGGAAAGGCAGCAGAATACAACAGACACTAGTATGGCAATATGTAATCAATGGATGTGTAACTGATGTGATTCTGCAATCTGTATACGGGGTAAAAATAGGAGTTCATAACCCACTTGAATCAAAGTGTGAAATATGATATATCAAGAACTATGTAATGTTTTGAACAACCAACAACAAAAATTAAAAAAAAAAGAATTATAATGCAAAAAAACAACAACAAAGTACATGTATAAAGGCATCAATTGGTGTGAATATCCTTTATATACAGAAATATGAAAAATTGTGCTCTGTATTTGTAATAAGAATTGTAATGCATTCCACTGCTGTCATGTATTTAAAAAAAATAAAATCAATAAAAAATTTAAAAAAAGAATTTACAGGATTGAATTCATCTTTTTCCTTCCTTATCCAGTGGGAAGCAGGTCTGGGGCTTAGGAGGAAACACCCATGTATTATGGAAAACAGGGAGGCTACAGGTCCTTGGCATACCTAAATCTGATGTAAGCGAACATGTGGCTTCAATCCAACTGCTCTAAAACATACTACAAAGATTTATTTTATTTACAAAGAAGGGTTTTAGACTGGATCTAGAACATGAGAACCAAGGGCACATGTAAATCAGCTAGTCCCCGGTATTTTCCTGTTTGTGTCACCTGATGGCACCTCTGTCTTTTTTCTCTTAATCGATGACTCACCAAGCTCCAAGAGTTGGTCTTGAAAAGACAGCATGGTCTTTGGCACACACATTATTTGGTACCCTTAGTTCTATATTAAAGGACTACAGGGAGACATGGCTCTGATACATGTAGCCCAGAGACACAGTACGCAGGAATGAGAACAGAGCACACCTGTTTTGTAGGTCAGTAGCCAACCCTTGTTTTATTGAAATGTGTACAGGAGATTGGAAAAGAAAAGGACCAGACTGCACTGTGGCAAGGGACAAAGCATGTGCCACATCCTACCTCAACCGTGCCAGACGTCCTGCAGGCAGCTCTTTGGAACTTGGTTTGGCTGCAGCCTCCACAGAGGCTTTGTGAAGCCCAGAACTCCTGAGGTCAACCCTCAACCAGAGGTGACCATGACATCCACCTCACTGAAAGGTGGGGAAGGCCACCAGGCCAGTCAAACAGGAAGGTGTTCTTTGAAGAAACTCAGGTCTTGAAAGCTCTAGGATCTTCCCAGTGGTTTCCAAGCAGGCGGGAAGAAGGCAGTGGCTACCAGAAACTGAGTTGTACTCGCCCCCCACTGAGTTGTGTCCATGAAATCAGAAGCCCTGGCAGAGCCAAGTTCATGGGCAAAATCCACACTTCAGATCCACACTGCGTCCTGTAGCCCAGGTGCAGACAGGTGCATGGAAAAGCTCCCCGACAGGCCTGCAGCTGGCTCACTTCATGTTCCTCTCGATCCAGTCTTTGAAAGGCAGCACCTTGGTAAACGCTGTGGAGAGGCTATGACTACAAGATTTGTCATAGCTCCAGCTGACCAGCCCCACCAGATGCCATCGTGGCTCAGGTGATGCCCGGCCAGGGAAGGACATAGCTGCAATGCCCCCTGTCTCTGCCGTGCAGATGTCCGAAGGGGCACTGGAGTCCTGGCTGGCACAGAACATGTTGTCGGTGACACTCACGGGGATGCCACGGTCTTCATGCTGCTCCTCACACAGCAGTGAGTCCACCACCCTGACCACCCCAGAGCGCAGCGTGTCATTCTTGAAGCCAGGGCTCCTCACATCTGCCAGGATGTTCCAGCCAGCCACAGTGAGGTGGGACTCCTGGAAGGAGATGCTGAGGTCCCTAGTGGCAGCGAGGCAGATGGGCTGGACACGGGTGCTTATGCGGGCCTTGTCCAGGAGCTTCAAGATGGCGATGTCAGCGTCCAGCAGTATGGGGTCGTAGTTGGGATGCAGAATGATGGCAGAAATCTACCAATACAAGGAATGGACAGCAATGGTGAGCATCCATGGCAGACAAGGACAGTCAAGTTTGGGGGCTAAATTATTGGGAGAAATTGTTCAAAAACCAGGTACCATTATTTGACATACTTTGCTCAAGAAATCTTAGAAAGGAATTGCTCTGTTTCCAGGACTGCAAATTGAAATGACTACTAGAGTCTGGTAGATGACCAGAACATAAATAAAATAAGTGGAGTATTCAGGTGAAGCTACAGAGAATTCAGGAGGCTGAGGCAGGAGGATTGCAAATTCAAGGTCAGCCTCAGCCACTTAGCAAGACCTGTCTCCAAATAAAAAATTGAAAGGACTTAGAATGTATTTGGGTGGTAAAATATCACTGGGTTCAATCCCCAATATAAATAAATAAATAAATAATAAAATAGGGCTGGGGTTATGGCTCAGCAGTAGAGCACTCGCCTAGTACATAAGAGGCCCTGGGTTCGATCCTCAGCACCATAAATTCAATAAAATAAAGGTATTGTGTTCACCTACAACTAAAAAAAAATTAAATAAATAAATAAAATAAGTGGGCAGAGGCCACTTCATTCCAGCTGATCACTGCCGTACAGAAATGGGCCAGCATTTTAAATTTGCCAGAGCATGGACTCCAGATCTTTAATTGAAACATCTTAATTTTTTAATGGTGGTAAGTAACTAATGAAGAAAACATACATCAGCATCATCAACACATAAAGCCCAAAAGCTACCTCTGTAACATTTCATGTGCCTACATGCCAGCAAGATAGAGCCATGTTTTGTAACAACATCCCATAATACTTTCCCCATAAGAACATTCTCAGAATATATCATAGACTTTTTCACACTCTTCCCTGATGTTCCCCAGTCTTGCTGATCACCCACTTTGACAGAGCCCTCTAAGAGCTCCCATCTGTGATACCTTATAATTTTTAATGTTTATGTTCTGTTACTGGAACTGTGTTTGAGCACATTTCCTTGAGGTTTCTTTTATGTCACACTCATCATGATATATGGGTCTCTCTCCCGCTAGCCTGGACTCTTCAGAGTGAAAACCACTCTTTGTTATTTTTTGTATCTAGTTTCAGTGAAAGGCACATTGTGGTATCCCCCAAATAGATGGATGGACAGATAGAAGGATAGGACGAGAGATGGATGGATTGATAGACAGATGGGTAGGTGGATAGATGGATGGATGGATGGATGGACAGAGAGATGGGTGAATTGAAGGCAGGGAGGGACGCAGGAAAGAGCAAAGCATTCTGTAAATTGATGAGGAATGTCTTGGATAGGATTTGTCTATCCTCAAAGCCTACCAGGATAGCGCCCAAATGTATTAGGTGAAACCCAGATTGTGATCACAAACTATTTGTTAATGTACTTTGAACCTGGCTCTGTGCTAGGCTGTGAGGGTCTGGTGACATAGAATGCTTATGGAGTAGATGGTTTTAGGCCAAGCCAGGTATTAAACAAATAATTTCACTAACTTTTAATTTGTTACGAGCTACTAGACAAATTATATGTGTATTTTACTTGGAGGTACTTAAATTCTTTTTTAAATATTTATTTTTTTAGTTGTAGTTGGACACAATACCTTTATTTATTTATTTATTTATATGTGGTGCTGAGGCTTGAACTCAGGGCCTCACACGTGGTAGGTGAATGCTCTGCCAGTGAGCCATATCCCCAGCCCGGTAATTGACTTTTGATAACCATGATGATAGACGGAGCTTGTCTCTTACTTTTAAAAGAAGCAAATCGGGGAAGGACAGGATGGCCCTTCTAAATGCCCCTTTCCAGTACCTGTCGATATGTAACACCAAGCCCCTGGCATGTGCCAGGCCCGGGACTGGTACTGACATGCCAAGTTGACAGGGCTGACATGGTCCTGCTCTCCTGTGCTTAGAACTAGTTGAGCCAAAGCCCCGGTTTCCAAGTTGAGCCCTCCTCTCTCACCCGTAAGCTCTGGATGGTCTTCTCATCCCGGTCGTCATCCCGGTAAAACTTCCCCAAGACGATTTTGAGATCTGCTGTCTTGATGACGGTGACCTTCCCCAGGTCAGTAACACAGTGGGCGGCCACCACCACGGTGCGCTCATTCACCAGGGCGCCACTGCAGACCAGAAACCATGCGCCCTTGTGCAGGCCACCATCGTGCACCCCACTGGTCCTCCTGTAGATGGCTGCTTGCCATGGCCAGCGCGTCCCTTGGGTCTTCAGAGAAGTGACGTTCTCGATTTTCCCACAGACTATGGAGAAAGCACCAGTTCAGTAATACCAACTTAGATATTTCCATCCAAAGGGGAATGCGTCTCTCTACCAGGAGAGCACCAACAGGAAAGGTGGTCCCATGGGTCCAATGACCACTAAGCCATCTCACCTGGTTTTCTTCTTCCTTTAAATATTAATCTAGACGCAATTGGTTATAAAGTCGAAGGTTAAAATTGGAGATTTTATAGTAAAATGAAACCCAAATTGTGATCCCAGGCACTTACTATCAACAGGACTTTGGTCAAGTGACCTAATCTTTTAGAGCCTCAGTTTCCTCACCTGTAAAATGGATAGAGCAATAATAATGGTCTCATAGGGTTCCAGAAGACTGAATGAGATGATGTATACAGACCCTCAAAAATATCATGACCGTCATGATAAATGTGACCGCCATGAACTAAACCACGCTGTTCTGCTTTCACAAGGGGAGAATGGAGAAAGGAGCTGGGTCCTGTTCTAGACACTTCCATATATTATCTCAGTAATCACCATCTTAACAGAGGAGGTAATTAATATTTAATTAATTAATAACAATTACCTAATTAAAATCACTGCAGGGTGGCTGTGAAATGGAGCTTAGGGTAGCCAAGATGACGTAACTAGAGGGGGCCTAGCACCTCTAACCCCTCCCCACTTTCTGTTTAGTTCCTGCTCTCTTCCTCTTCTCCCAGTAAACATGATAGAGTTATCCACAGAAAGTATGCCCCTAGGAGTTCATGACTCCGCTTTTCCTGGGAAGTAAGTTCAAACCAAAGGAAGACACTTCTAACCAAGGAGTTCCGGGTATCACCAAACTAGGGAAAGCCATGCAAGACCATTCCTTTGGACAATGGGACTCTCCCCAGACAACAAGGTGAATGGCTTTACACAGGGCGCTTTGGAAACTGGAAGATACTGCCACTCGAAGATGAGCCTTGACTCACTAGGGATGCAGGATGGGGCCCGCCCACTCCACTTCCCGGTCCTCAGACACGTCCTCCGGCTGCTGCCCAGGCGGCGGTAGAAGGGTGAGAAGCACTCATACTGGAGCTGGGTGTGCAGGTGCTGGTACCCAGGAGGCAGGTCTCCAAAGGGAAGGGCTGGCTTCTTGGTAGGGGCACCCTGCAGCTTCTCCTTGCTGAAGGCTGATGAATACAGCTGGTGTAATGGCGTCTCCCTGGGTCAGAGCACATGGGGCCAGAGAAAGGGAAGGGCAAGAGACGGTCACCGTGGTCCTTTTAGCACCCATGCCAGGTCCCATGTAGATATGTGGTTACAGAAGAAGAGGAAAATGTCCTGTCTCTGTCTCTATATCTCTGTTCTTTCGCTTCCTTTCTCTTCTCTCTCTCTCTCTCTCTCTCTCTCTCTCTCTCTCTCTCTCTCTCTCATACACACACACACACACACTGTACCCTTCACCTCTACCACTGAGCAAATTCTCTTGTACGCCTCAATCTTTTCATTCCTCCACTTCCATTTCTGGCATGCTTCCAACTGCCTCGGATTTTAACCAAAGAGAACTACATCTGACATAATAGCTGCTATGCAAAGACACTACACACGCACACACACAAATTTAACTGCGAAACTAAATAGAAAAGGGAGTTAATTTGAATGAGAGCATGCAGGAGTACTTTTTTTTCCCCCTCCAAACATTATCATAATGGGGCAATATTAGGAATTGACTTGAACTAAACTGTGTTGATACAGTAGCTTGATTTAGCAATTAGCAGATGTAATTAGTTCACCTCGGAGAATAGAAATTTCTCTCAGGGCACATTGATTGGGAGAAATATGAACTGTTGTGTGTAAATGTGGAAAGGGATATTAAATGATCCCTGAAGGTGAAGGCCCCAGAGACCACTCCGGGGTTCTTGGGGGAGATATACACACATTGTTCTGCTTTGTGTTTGTTTTATATTGGTGCCCACTGAGTGACAAGCTGAAATCCCTTTAGGAATCAATGTCTTCATTCCCATTTGATGAATGGAGAAGGGAAGCTCAGAGAGGTAAGTGAGAGTGCTCATGGGCACACAGGAAAGGAAGATGGTTCTTGAGACCACCGTGCTTAGCCGTCGTGACTTCCACGTGGTGTCGCTACCACATCAATTTGATATCACTGTAAGAAATTATTTCATGCATCTCTACAGAACTTGGATCAGAGCAAATATTCCATCTATATTGATTTCACTCAACAAATATTCCTATCATGGTTCTAACCAGGTCTGTAATTCTGGGAGCTTCTGCACTTGCTAACAAGCTTATCTCTAGGCCACTGAAGGTTCACACTGCCTTTGGGGGCTCCCCAGGTGAGCCTGGCTGTTGGAGATAGGCAGAACCCCCGCCCCCCACTTCAGCAGCCTGCCTTCCAGAAAGATACTGAAAAACCAAATTTCAGGTTTGCTTCTCATTTACATGAGACAGCAGGCACTTTGCCACCTAACCTCCCATTAAAATTGTCTTAAAAACTCTGTTCTTTTTGAGAGGGGTTCCTCCTCAGGATGTCTCTTTGGGAAGAACAAGTGGATTCCACTTATTGGAGAGTCCAGCCCAGGGAATCACAGAGACCTGAAGACAGGGCCGAGTTTGAATTCCATTGCCACCATTCCAAAGGAAATGTCTTCCCTAAAAGGAAAAGACTTGAGAGAGAAAGAGGAAGGGTCAGAGGCTGACGGGCATCCTCGCCAAGGAACACTCCAGGGCGAGCCTGGTCACTGGAACTCATTATCACTAACCCTAACAATAGCTGCCTTTAACAGGTGCTTGTATGTGCAAGGTGCTTTGCTAAGAGTTAGTCTAGTGCATAAGGGAGCAGACCCTGGAGCCAGATACTGAATTTATATCCTGGTTTTGCCACTTCTAGCAGTGTGACCTGGGGCAAGTTACTGTACTTCTCTGAGCCTCAGTTTACCCATCTATAATAAAAACGGTAATAAAAAATCTGTAATAAAAAGAATAATGCCTTCCTCAGAGGCTATAGTGAGAATTCAATGAGCCAAGACATGTAAAGTACTCAAAAGAGCAGCTGTACATAGAAAACATGCAATAAGCGTTAGCTATTCGTGTTGGATTTAATCCTTACAACAATTCCCAGAGACTGCTATGATTATTCCTGCATTTCAAGAGAAGGAAAAAAATAAAAGGCTCAGCAAGTTTAGGAACTTTCCTAGGCATACCTAGAACTAAACAGGGGCAGAACCAGGTCAGGAACCCTTGACTGTCAGTCACTCCAATGTATTCATTCAGTAAATATTTATTGAGTGTCTTCCACATGGCAGGCACTGTCTCAGGCACTAGAACAAAGCAGATAATGCTCCTGTGCTTGTAACTTCTGTATTTGGAATGGGGAGACAGAAATTGAACACGTAAACCAAGACAACTGGTAGAGAGGGAGCTGAGATGAACAAGGCCAGAGAACACCAGGTAAAGGAGTCGGTGGGCAGTCGGGGGGAAGAAAGCTTGGCTAGTTTTAAAAGGACAGTCAAGGGAGGCCTCTCTGTCAGGTGAAAACTGAGCAGAGAACTGAAAGAAGGGAGGCAGTGAGCCTCGATGGGATCCTGTGGAAGAAGTTTCCAGACCAAAGGAGGCACAAGAATAAAGTCGTACAGCAGAACTGTGCTTGGGGAGAGAGAGAGGAAGCCTTCCTTATTGGAGCAGACACAGTGAAAAAGAGATGAATAGAACTGGGCCTACTGCCCCCGCCCCCCAAGGTGGTCTTCACCTCTGTCTTCCAGAGCTCACATCCCTGATGGCGACTGGCCATGCATCTCTAGTTTCTGGACTCCACCATCCCCTCTCTCCATGACAAGAACCTCTGACTGCCAGCTGGGGTTTAGGAAGGTGTTCTTCCTGATGCTAGCACCTAGAAGCTGCCACAATGCATACACAGTAATTTAGGGAAGACTCACATATGACAACCCAGTTCCTCAAAGACCATCTGAGTGTCTTGCTTCTCACCAATCATCTACTTTCCCACGATCCAATAAAATTTGTCCATCTTCCAACCATTGCTACCTCTTGGCCAAAGGCAGCTGGCTAATGAGCTTCCAGGGAACAAGCCCTATTCTTTCATGACCATTTAGCACTAAATGTCCCTAAGAAACCCCAACACAAAGTAGAGAAAGGGAATGGGAGAGGAAATCTCCATTACCCTTCCTAACAGAGTGCAGGTATTTCAGTCTCACCTTGACTGGACCTGCATTGGAAGAACTCTCCTTCTCACCAGGTCTGAGACCTTTGGCTCTCGGCAGGCTGGAAAAAAAAAAAAAAAAACAGACAGGGTCGCATCATCTGTTTTCAGACTCACTGTTCACATGGCTCAGTTCAGACCCATCCCTAACCCCCTTTCTGGATACCAAGTACTCATTCCCCAGACTCAGAAGCAAGACATGTCAGCCAAGCTTGAATAGTTCGTTTAGCAAAAAAGCCTGCTGCCTTTCTCCTAAATTGACAGCTTTCTCTGAAGAACTCTGATGCCTCTGAAAAACTCCTCCACCTAGGTGATTTGGGGCCTTGACGATTAATAGATAGGACTATCTGCTTATGCGTCTAGCATTAGCACACTTGATCAGAATGGAATAAAATTCAAATGGAGTCCTAATATACAGCCCATACTGGGAATTAGAAGGTTCTCATTTAAAACCAGGCAGCAATGTCAATCATAGATAAGTCTTGTGTAATTGATTTTTTTCCATGTCCTTTCTCGCTATTAAGGACCCCAAAAAATCTCTAGGAGACAACTCAAAGCTCAGTTTAATTTTTCTGAAGTCTCCTTTTTTTTTTTTTCCACAAGTGAAAAGGAGTCCTTCCCATCTCACTTTCCCAATCAAGAGCAGCCAACACTTGTCTAATTAGCGACTTAGAGTACTTTAGTTGTATTAATTTGTAAGAGAAGAGTTGACAAAAATCTCCAAGGACATATGTAACGCCGTTCCCATACTTAATGAAATAAAACATCAGAAATCTATGCTGGTGGGGATGAAAGTCGTTTCTGGCTAAAGTCTAAAGTGATTTATTCCTTTCACAAATCATTCCCTTTCATTCCTTTTCCCATGATTCAGGTTGTTGACAAACACCCAGAAGGGAAAGTAGAGGACTGAGGCAATTATCTGGATAATCTAGGACAAGAACACGCTTTTCTTCCCAGTAAACAGCCAGATCATTGTGACTGTCCCCCAAAACAGAGGTGCCGCTAACCAGAATCAGCTGGAAACTATGCACCCCCACTGCAACAGAAATGGTTCCAACCGCTCTCTATAACATTTCATTTCTCTGGCTCCAACTTACATTTTGCAGTTTACTGCCTGGGTTGCCTCCCTTTGCATTTACCAATGCCTGGTAAGTTACACCTCTGTAATTTCCCTCTATCTTCCATCTGAAATGTCATCCCGACTCCTCTTCACATCTACAAATCCTCCCCAGCTTTCCAGACAGGCCCCAATTCTACCTGCTTCATGCAATTATCTCTATTTTAAGAAATTCCCTCTCTCCTTTTCCTGAACTATCCATTTAGTTCCTACAGCTGTCTGTTGAATGTTCAAAGATCTACTATGTTTGTCTTGAAACATCTTAACTGGTCTCACCGATCCCAACATAGGCAGCCAGGGAAGATGAGTCCATTCAGTTTTGACCTTGGATCTGCATATATAAACCTCAGCCCTATTGTTTTTTCCTGAACTGTTCTGATAACTATATCACTCTCCTCCATCAACTCAAGATGCTGTGATTACAGTAAGCAGGTCTTCCCTAAGTCCAGAAAAATGAAGCAAATATTTTTAGGGATGGTTTCCAATCTAATAAATAATGTGGTTCCGGAGAAAACTTAAGAGAGAAAGGGACCCCCCACCCTCCAACACACACACACAGGGGCTTAAAATAATGCATTAAAGCTATCAAAAAGCACAGTAACTCCATCTACCCCTATAGGATCCTGAAACACCCATAAGTTACCTTTTATGCAGATGGGCTGTTTCCCTGACCACTCTCCATTCTGTTGGCAAGTTCTTTTCTCATTCCCACTAAGAACATAGGAGTTATTACAAAAGAATGACACCACAGTGCCGATTTTTACATATCGCCCATTGAGCAGTCCAGGACCTCCTGTTATTTTCTTGTACCCATTGACTGGTCCCCCAAGATCTGAGCAGTTTCTTTCTTCAAGGACTAAAAGTGAAAAACAAGAGAAAAGAAGAACTGTTAAAAGTCTGAGTCATTTAACTTTGGAATAGAATCTTTTCATTATTTCATTGAATTTAAAAATACAGTGATAACAAGCCTGCTAACAGTGTGCGCAAAAGAATTACCAAGAGAAATCTCATAATAACAAATGCATGTATTAGACACGTCTTTCCTTGTTTTAATGATTTATTCTTAGATGGAGAAATATTTCATTCTAAATGTAAACAACTTTGACACAAATCTGGCTCTTATGATCTTCTTTTTTTTTTTTTTTTTCAAATTATAGGAGCTGGGCAAGACTGGACAAGAAAAATATTTCACCTAGATTTTATGATCAGGATACAGGCATTATTAGTTTTCAGTGTTGTATTATCTCCCTCATTTCCTATTGCTTGAGCAATTAAATTAGACTGTTCAGTTTCCTATTTATGTTGTATACAAAAAAGTAGAACTGCTTAACAACAAAAATATATATATGAAATAAATTTAGATCTTGTATTTCATATCAAGAAAAAAGTGTTTCAAGTTTTAGTTAAAACTACTAGAGGACAATATCATTGCAAAAATATTACAAATTCCCCCTGATGCCCAAATGTAACTTTTTATCTGTATACTTAATATTCTTAATATTCTTAATGACTTAAAGTAAAAAGGCATCCCCAGCCATTCTGAGCACTGAACAGGATTTAGGTTTAATCTGCAAAAATTCTAATAGATAGGTAACATATTTTTCTCATACAGATAATGGCACAATACTGAATATGACCTGTCTAAGGAAAGAGAGTGAGTCCTCCAAAGAATTCAACTGAATTTGGGCACTAATCTATCATCTTCCCTGGTTTCTTTTTAATAATTTCTTCTAAGACACAGGCTCATTCCTATAAAACAGTTCTCGTGTAATGCAGTTATGCATTTGACGTACTTTCCTTCCCATAACTGTCCCAATTATCTTCCAAGCAACTTACTTGCTTGCCTCCAGGCAAGAAAAGAATCTTCTTTCAAATAGCGCTTTTAAAACATTCAAGAATTAAAAATAAACAACTTTACCGGGTGCAACTTGGCAAGATTGCTGCAATTAGCCAACTGACTGGTTTGTCTCCTCTAGGATTATCCATAGCCCATGTGGCAGATGATCAATAACACTCTGTGTGCTTTGGGGATTATGTAATATGAGTGATTTCCCTGGTGGGTGAATCCAAAACTCTTATTTTAAGTGTTAAAAAAAAAGGGACCTCACTGAGCGAGACTGTTTAAAATACTAAAATGGTATAAAGAGGGCAATGTGGCTTTTTTATGCTTCAAGTGGTCTCAGAAAACCCTAGTGCTTGTATTTTCAGGAATCCCTCTCTGATGGGAGGGGGAGGGAGAGGAAGCAGTACATGTCACCTCCGTGATGGCGCCAGCTTCTTTTAGTAGATGCATTCAGTCTGAACATATATCCCAGAGGGTGACCACTGGGGCTCAGAGACCACAATAAAAAACGTAGTGTATCCTGCCTGTACGTTTAAAATAATGGAACTAGTTGCCAACATAAAACTTGGGAGAATTCACACAAAAACAGGTCTCACTGGGTTCTCACACAATTCAGATCTTCAGTCTCCCAGCCTGCCTCCCCCAGAGCGACAATCATCTGGAGCTGAGAAATGACTCTCTGTTCACCTGGGAGCCGCGCTGCCTGGCTCTGGCAAGTGTTTGAATCTATGGCCAGTTGCCTATCGAGAGGCTATGATTTATGCAGTTCAAGTGTAGGTCCTTGTTTATTTGTTTTGAGCTTTACTACAGCTCGTGGTCAAAAAAGATTGGGTGATATTTAAGGCCATTGCTGGAATACTGGGAGAAAATGAACGAGACTGCAGCTACATCAGCTTCAGCAAAAGATGAATCTTTTCTACTGATGGTTTTGATAGGTGAGCCTGATAGTGGGGTTGTCTTCCCCTTGAAAGGAAGCTCTTCCATGGTTTGCTAGTCTCCCATGCCCTGGGCTGCCACAGCAGGGTTCTCATGGAACACACACACACACACAGTATTTAATGTGGGCTTAAATACTAGGAACTTTGGAAAGTTCTTGAGCCCTTGGAGATAAAGATTTAGGACAATCCAGGTCCTTTGTTTCTCTCACTCAGGAGGCTATAAAAGAAGTCTTAAAGAGAAATTAACTTGGAATACACAAATACCTCTGTTCAAGGGTAAAGGATGTCACTAAACATCTGCAGTTCTTAAATGCATACAATTTTATAACTTGACATTTTTGAAATCAGGTCATAAGTGTAGTTTTCACACCGAGATTTCTGTACAACTTAAATTCAATATCTTAGAATGGAGAACTATGACAACTATTATTTGGTTTTAAGTTATTGCTTGTGGAATGTCATCATTAGGATAGAGCAAGTAATGCTTCTATGTTAGGATCCAATGGAGTGTTCAGGGGACTGAATGCTTGTTTCCCCCTCAAATTCATATATCGAAATCCTAAGCCCCGATATCATGGTATTAGGGAGAGGGAGTCTTTGGAAAGTCATCAGATCATGAGGATGGAGCCCTGGTGTGTGAGATTTTTGCCCTTATTGAAGGCAACTCAGAGAGTTCTCTCTCCCTCCTCCTCCATGTGAGGATACAGCAAGAAGACAGCCATCTATGAACCAGAAAGCAGCCCTCACCAGACAGTGAATCTTCCAGCGCCTTGATCTTGGACTTCCCAGCCTCCAGAACTGTGAGAAATAAATGTTTGTTGTTTAAATCACTCAGTCTACGGTATTGTCTTGTAGCAGCCCCAACTGACAAAGACAGAAGGCAAGACTACGGCTGAAAATCAAGGGAAATATAGACAACAGAATCAGATTTATAAAGGGTCCAGCAAAGTGGTCATCTGACACTACTTAAGAATATACTTTGTATACAACCAGGAATATGAAAAATGGTGCTCTATATGTGTAATAAGAATGGTAACGCATTTCACTGTCATATATAAATGAAAAAATGAATTAAAAAATGCAAAAAATAAATAACTCCACTGAATACATTCCAGAAATAAAAGACAAGATTGAGAACTTCAGCAGAAAACCAGAAATGCTGGAAAAAAATAACCTAAGAAAAAAATCAAAAACTGAAAAATTTAGTAACAGAACTCAGTGGATGGATTTAATAGCAAACTAAATAGAACTGAAAGACAGCTTATAAGAAAACTTTCAGAATGAAGTTGAAAGAGACAAGAAGGTGAAAATGTACTCGAAAATCTAAGAGGTTCATAGGACACAGTGAGAATCTAAAGAAATACATAATTAACATTCCAGGAAAGGAGACAGAGGGGAGAGGGAGGTGGGGGGGAGAGGGAGGTGGGGGGGAGAGGGAGGGAGGGAGAGCAGGAGGGAGGAAGAAGAAGAAGAAGAAGAAGAAGAGGAGGAGGAGAAGGAGAAGAAGGGGAAGAGGAAGAAGAAGATGGAGGAGGAGGAAGAGAGATGACAATGGTCAGAAACAATGTGCTAGGAGATAATAGATGAAAACTTTCCTGTACTCATGGAAGAATTTGACCTACAGATTCATAAAGCCCCAAACCAGACAAAAATGAAAAAATAGGTACATGGGAATGTTTTAAAGCAACCAAAGTGGAGACAGACCAAGGGATTTGAAAACCATACTTTCCAATACTTGCAGTCATTGCTGGGCATGATGGCACACACGAGTAATCCCAGAGACTCAGAAGGCTGAGGCAGGAGGATCATTGGCTCAGCAACTTAGTGAGGCCCAAACTAATTTAGCAAGATCCTGTCTCAAAATTTTTAAAAAGGGAAGGGCAGGGGGGTGGCTAGCAATGTAGCTCAGTGGTAAAGCACCCCTAGGTTAAATCTCTAGTCCCCAAAAAAGTGAAAATTAAAATAAAATAACAATTGTAGTCATTATCTTTACTGATAACATTAAGAATGATTTTGCTTCTTTATACTTTTTTCAAGTTTTACAATCATAAAGTAAAATCATAAAAGTTTGTTTTTATTATTTTTGTTGTTGTTTCTGTTTTTATTATTTTTTAAATATTTTGTTTTTTAGTTATAGTTGGACAAAATACCTTTATTTTATTTATTTATTTATTTATTTATTTGTTTTTATGTGGTGTGGAGGATCGAACCCAGGACCTCACACATACTAGGCAAGCGCTCTACCGCTGAGCCACAACCCAAGCCCCGGTTATTATTGTTTTAAAAAATCAAACAAAATATTTTTGAGTGCTGTCCATTAAACATCTAAATCTAGCATACAGTGTTTTATGCCTTGTTTTTTGGTCCAACTGTCTCTCTGTCCATGCAAATCTCTTTAATATTTTGTATAATCACATTATACAATTTTGCATGAAATCTCTTAAATAAGTCTTGTAACTAGACTGTGGTAGAAAAAATACTGGCCTCTAGGATCAGATAGATATGAGTTCAAATATTCATCTGGTTCCCCAGAGTCTACAACAGCAGGCACTTAATAAATATTTGTTAGGGGTAGAAGGAACAAAGAGTGAAAGTTTTTCAATCTTGTACTTAAGAAACTAAGAGCTGGGAACCATTAAACCTCCCCAACCATTGCTTTTCTTAACTATAAAACAAAATAATGACACTTACCTGGCTGGGCTGGTTTTGAGGAGTCACAGAAATAACACAAAGTTTCCTTTTCCCTCATTTGCCTTTGTTTACAAAGCACTCAATGCCTTTAAAAGCCAGTTCCCCAAATTTAATACACCTTAAAGAGCACTCCAGAGAGAAATCTTAATAGCTCATTATTAGACCTATTCAAGCACAACACAGCCTTCCGCTCTATTTCCTGGGCTTTTGGTAATGTTTACCCGTGATGAACTTCCAAAACTGTGTTGATTCAGACTTCTGGGTACCAACCAGGGTGTCTGTTCATTTATTTTGTTTAATCTTACACAATAAAGCCTTAAAATTATATTCCTATATCAAACAGCCCCTGAGTGTTATTCTTTCTCTTTCATTTTCTGTACTTTC